CTGCGCCACACGAGCCTTTCCTAATAAAACGAAACAAACAAAGGGAAATGGTAAGAGATAAAACTTTCGCAGTTCCCAGGATCGACTTTCTATTAACCTCGGCATCGGCATTGGATTATAAATTCGTCGTTTTCTGTCTCAGCAATCTCGAGGTTGTTAAACAGCATACGTTTACTTCAATACAATAACACACAATACAACACAATCGTAGTTGACGTTTCGGCAGAATCGTCTTCTTCAGAGCCTGGAAGCGTGTACTGATATACAATTTACTAGGCCAAACGCTTCAATAAGACATACAGAAAGATGAGAATCTAAATGGTAGTCACATGGTGAACAGCTTCTCGAAAAACCCACCGTTTTGTTTACGTGCCTTCCACTGAGGAAGAGCCGCTGATCAGCGTCACATATGGTTGACGACTGCACCTCCCCCATCCACGATCGATACGAAGAACTGCACTAGAATCCACAAGTTTCCTGATGAGGAACGATTGATCAGGTATTAGAGCAGCTAAAGAATTGTATTCGTATAGAAATCCTGTGATATAAATCGCTTGGGTCTGAGAAACAGCAAAAAAGTTGCAATATCCTATTCTTGTTAGTTTATTGATCTTCATTAGAGTCACCATTGTTGTCTACATAAATCAGATTTGTATTTATACTTATCAGAACAGCGAAGTAACTAGCCAATAAATAAGTCGCATAGTGAGGAAATTGTCACATTCGTTCCCTTGGCTTCAGAGAATGGACAGTGAATATGTGAATGGTCGGTATGTCACAAAATGTTGCCATACTTTGAAGCAAACAGTAGAAATTTCTCTATAACATCTTCGTAAACTCAAATTATTGTATTGCTTCCTACCTTCTATTTGTTCGACAGAAGCGGTCCGTTGAATACGTATGCTACTAATGAGGGCAGATAACAGAGCGTCAATGGCTGCTATAAAACCGGTCTATGCTGGAGAAAAAATGCGATTTAAATGGATGAGGCCATTCGGACCGGATTGCAGTTGGAATGTTTAATCAAAGTGATGTGAGTGACTGACGTTCTCCGTTCTCTCCGATAAAAATTGCTGAAAATCGTTTTCTTGTTGTGGATTTTCATCGAACGTTTCCGTGACGGAATTGAGTCAGAGAGCCGTTCGTCATGCGAAAACGCCGCCAGTTGCTTTTCATTGAGTGCAACTTCGTTTCATTTCCGTGATGGCTCACCGTTGTTAAAATAGCTCTGACTAAGCCTGAAATGTGAGCAACCGTTTAACAAGAGACGAAGATAATTCCATCACCATTAGCTAAGTATTTTAGTTGATGGCGCAGACTAACGACATAAAACAAGAACGGATAAAAGTGGAATGGATAGAAAGNTAAACTCAAATTATTGTATTGCTTCCTACCTTCTATTTGTTCGACAGAAGCGGTCCGTTGAATACGTATGCTACTAATGAGGGCAGATAACAGAGCGTCAATGGCTGCTATAAAACCGGTCTATGCTGGAGAAAAAATGCGATTTAAATGGATGAGGCCATTCGGACCGGATTGCAGTTGGAATGTTTAATCAAAGTGATGTGAGTGACTGACGTTCTCCGTTCTCTCCGATAAAAATTGCTGAAAATCGTTTTCTTGTTGTGGATTTTCATCGAACGTTTCCGTGACGGAATTGAGTCAGAGAGCCGTTCGTCATGCGAAAACGCCGCCAGTTGCTTTTCATTGAGTGCAACTTCGTTTCATTTCCGTGATGGCTCACCGTTGTTAAAATAGCTCTGACTAAGCCTGAAATGTGAGCAACCGTTTAACAAGAGACGAAGATAATTCCATCACCATTAGCTAAGTATTTTAGTTGATGGCGCAGACTAACGACATAAAACAAGAACGGATAAAAGTGGAATGGATAGAAAGCCCGACCTTAAAATAGCGGGAAAATATAATAGAAACGAAAATCTGATTGATGAGAAAGCTAACACAGGTACCCTCCTACTTTAAAATTGAACAAATCTATAGCAAATATTAATTGTGGTACCATGAGCGTTTAACTGAGGGTAGTTCTATCGCCGATTTATACCCTTCCAGGCGCTGAAGAGGACGATTCTGCCGAAACGGCAGCTACGTTTGTGCAGGATTTTATGGGAAATACAACCACTATAATGCCGTGATATTGGCAGAACATGGATTTCAGGCATTCGAACCCGCGATTACCCTTTCCAGTGGCTCACATGTTACCCACTGTTTCATCAAGACCTTTGCCATGCCTTTCTCTCAACAGGTTTTTTCTCTAACGGTGCCATCAGCAATCACCCGTCAACGGTACTGATCTGGGGAGCCTAATTCGGCCTTCGACCTAGTCAGGATGAGCCGTCGTCGAGATCGCAATGTTTATTCTTATGTGGTCCGCAGTCCAAGCTTAGCAAATATCTTAGCATTAAAGTTGCAGTTTCTATCAAAGATCTTCAACCTTCATTTTCTAATTTATACTGATCTCAACGGCGCAGTGATCGGAGCTGCCCTGCGACACACACATGGGATCCAACCCGCACCCGCAGCTCACTAAGCCCTCCATCCCTCCAGTGTTGACGAAATTGGCACCAGACTTGTCTTGGATGATAGCAGCACTGGTTCGGTTTATCGGTAGGCCACCGCGAGTCATTGTAAAGGCCAGATATGCATTCAACCACCTCCAACGATGCTTAGTAAAGTCGAATGCATGGCGCTTCCCTCAGCGAGATTGATCAAAGCTGAGAACTTTTATCCCTTATTTATACTAATTTATAATATACTCTATATTTATGCTATACTACAAAAATGCGTGTTGAATAATATGTGGTGAAGGATACTGTATAGGAAATTGTTAAAAAAACACTCGTCCAACTGATATTTAGAGCTTTTTTATTGAGTGGATAGTTGTACATATTTCTGTCGTTAGTTCCTTGGTTTCTCGAATGCGTTGTCTTGTGGAATACTAAGAACTTAGTGATTTTGTTCGTATTTTTGTTGAGCAAACGCGAGGTGTTATTATTCTTCGTTCACGATTAAGCTGACGTTCCGGCGGACTTCGCCTTCCTCAGAGCCTGGAAAGGTCAAGTTGATAGCAATCTACTCGGCCAGACGCCTCCATAACCAAATAAAGAAACATGTGAGGGGCACATTATACTTCCACGTGATTTCTGTGCGGTTGGTCTCTACGTGACATACTTAGAGGAAACCTCATAGGAAGCGGTGAGTGTGCAAAGCTGTGTTCAAAGTGATTGAAATCTTGGTTTGGGGTTTCTTTTCAAAATATAACGAAGCCATGAGTGTACCCCCACAAGAACAGTGAGAACATTGGACTTCGTATTAAGACTGTATTGCCCACTCGTTCCGTTCAGTTGAGATAAAAAGCCCACTAGCACACCTAGAGCACGTCGGGGACTAGTGGATGCTCGAACCATTACCGCTTCATTAAGCTGGCGTTTGCGGTTGGTCAAAGGTTATAATTACAAAGCTCAAAAATTGCGACTAACGGTGAGGGGATATTTAGACGAGACGGTGAGGACGCGTGCAGTATGAAATTTCAGACGTTTTATGCTTTTTTGAACTACAGGTTTAGTATAGCCTTCCGTTAACTAAAAACTTCATTGGAAACCACAGTGTTATGTATTGGTGATTACAACCGAAGAGCTCTAAAACTCTCAGTTTGAGATCCAACCCAGTGGCAGAAAAATTAGACGATTTCTCGTTGAGTGGTGAAATGTAGGGATGGGAGCATAATTTTCTCACTTTTTTGCTATGAGTTCACTAAAGCAGTAAACATGTTCGTCCAGAACGGTCAGTTTATGAACTCACCGAGACTGTTCTGCGTTTATATAAAGCTCGCAATGTTTATCTATCAATGAGAGGTGCCCTGTACATCCAACTTTAAGAAACATTGCTAATGGCGACCAAATGCATATCCGTCCTGTATAATGACTTGCGGTGGCCTACTGCTCTATCAAATCAGTGCAGTTATCGTTGCAGGCAAGTATGATGGCAATTTTCCTGAGCCCAGAAGGACGGAAGGCTTCGCCAGCCCAGTGCATGGGATCATGGCCAGATGTGCATTGCAGAGTTCCTCTGAACACTGCTCTACATGTGCCCTGGAGATGACCAATATCTTCGTTTTTGAAAACACCGAACTTGTACAGGCTATCCAACACAGTCGTGCTTTCCAACAAGATACACTACTTCAAATACAACCTAGTATCAATCTGATAAACTGAACCATTCATGATACACTCTTGAAAAGACGCTCTTGGTAACGCAATTAAGTGCTGTACACAATTGATTTATTTATGTAACCTTATAAACTGATCTTCTTAAGCCGACGCGAGGCTGGTACAGGCCTTCGTTGTCGTTGTCGTTGCTTTTGATGTCATTGATCGATTGCTGACGTTTCGGCGACTTCGCCTTCCAGAGTTAGTCGGAGTCCCGCACGTAACATCAAGTCTCTGAGGAAGGCGCAGTCGCCGAAACGTCAGCCATCGATCAATAACATCAAGAACAACGACAACGAAGACCTGTACCAACCTCGCGTCGGCTTAAGAAGATCAGTTTATAAGACCACATAAATAAATATATCAACTATCTATGCCGAGGTTTATAGAAAGTCGGCCTTTCGAGTTATTAAGTGCTGTACACAGTACTCCTCTAATTTTTGTAAAATTGCGAAATGCAACAAATAGGATATTTAGTTTGACAATCGTTCTCGAACCTTCAAGGTAGACTACATTTGTAATGATCAAGAGTTCTTCAAACGTATCGGCTCACTTCCCTTTCTGTGTTAGTGCAGAAGTCCACTCAAAGTGCTCTAGTAACAAATCAGCTTGCGTCACCATATGTGTATATATATCCTTTTCTATAAGCCACTTAGATGCAACCTTTCATACCTTTCCATGTTCAATCTTATTAAATATGCATAATCCATGATTTCGAGAAACGGTTTATTGTATTCGTACGAGCTAAACTGTGGACGGCAATAAACTTTGAAGCAATCAATACCCCGGAGCAGTGCGAGGAGGGGAACAGTGTGTGCAGTCTCCTGGAGGGCCTCGCTCTCCGTCTGGCCCGTCATCGCCAGGTGTTCCAGACATTCCAGGAATACCAGGATTTCCATTATATCCTGGCTTACCTGGAGCACCACTCTCACCGTTGTTTCCCGGAGCTCCAGGATTTCCATTAACACCTGGTAGTCCTTGAGGCCCTGACGGCCCAGGTGGGCCCCGGGGCCCAGAAATTTTAATCAATTCTCCCGGAGCTCCGGGTGGTCCAGGATTTCCTGGTTTCCCATCGCTTCCGGAAGGCCCTTGTCGTCCTGGGCCACCTGGCGCCCCTGGATTTCCACGAGATCCTGGTGGTCCGTCAGGTCCTGGATTTCCATTGCTTCCACGTGGTCCTGGGTTTCCAGGAGGTCCAGCTGGGGCTTCGGGACAGTCGAAGCACAAGTATGGATACGAATATGAGGTTCGTTCTGGCCCATAAGTTCTTCCTCCGTCTCTACCAGGCGGACCTGGTCTTCCATCTAGGCCAGGTTTTCCATCTTCACCTGGAGCTCCTGGAAGTCCCTTCGGAGAAACACCGCATCCGCAGCATTTACGGCCGCCATAATCAGTTTGTCGGCGACTCCTAATTGATGCATCTGAGATCTTGGCAAGCACCTTAACAGAAATGTTCATGTAGGAAAAATTAACAATGACAAGAGGATGGCTCACCTGGGTGTGAGTGACTTCTTTCCATATGCTTCCAGAACGGGACTTACAAAAGTCGACTTCGTTCTGCATGATGGATTGCATGTGCTGTACGTAGTGGTACAGCATTGGTACTGATATTACGCACACCAACGTGGCTGTGGTAGAGAGTGCCACTCCAAAGAACGCAGTTCTTCTCAAGGAGAGTGCTTCGGATTCCCAGCGTTTCTCGTTGCCAGACATGCTTGTCTCTATCGAAGAACCACGGTTTTTATATGACTTTCATGAATTCTCCGCCTTTCTCAGGGTCCAAACGATTTTATCATCACGATAGTATCGGTTTCCAAATTCGGTTTTCGTGTTTAACCACGCACCAGATACCATGTGGCACTGTGTATGGTTAAGAAGTGGGCTCTAAATTTTCAAAGTTTTCATGGAAATGCAAAAATAAGCTTTATAATATATATATCGACGTTATCTCGTGAGCCTCACAAAAATATTTTCATGCCCCCTATTTTGCCAACTCACTGTGGCTCTCAGGTATCGAGCTGTAATGTTTAGCGAAGGTTTATTACCCAGCAAAACTCCTCAACTAATAACGAGCAAAAAATTTTTATTTCCATTTTAATATAGGTGATCACATCAATGTCGTCTATCACCTGTATCACCTGTAGTCCCATTGATCGTCGAGTGACTCGAGCACGCGTCAGTAAATCTTCCACTTTTCCCTGTCGCGTTCAAGAGTAGCCCATTTGGTTCTGCTCGCATTAGGAACTCGTCGAGCATCTTATCTGTCTTCTAGGCTCTTCGTCAAGAAGTACGCTTGACATCCCGAGGAATCCAATCACTAACGGTCCCTGTCCATCGGTTGTAATTCATACACATTACGTGTCCGGCTCACCTTATCTTCGACTGTTTGGCGTACAGAACATCATCTTTAATTTTTTGATCGTTGAAACAGGTCGGATCTTCGGATCCCTTCCCTTACTTGTGTGACACGGTATACTCCTAGGATCGTCCTTTCGACTGCGCGTTCAATTACGCTGAGTAATCGTTAATCCTGCTTACGTAGCGAACAACTCTCTGACACATGCGTTAAGACAGGTAGTACCGTTGAGTCGAAAAGGTGGGCACGCAGTCGGGTGTTCTCTGTTCTCTTCACTACATCCTCGATGCTCTTGAAAGCTCCCCAAACCGCTCGTTTTCTTCTGCTCAGCTCTGGGGCTAAGTCGTTCACCATATTGATTTCCCGACCTTGATAGATATAACTGAAGCATTCGGTGATGTTCGTTTCGTCGAACGTTAATGGGGCATACAAAACCAAACCGTTCCTCATGAACATCGTTTTTGTGAGATTTAGTCGAAGACCAATCTTTCCACAGGCTTTATCAAAGTCGTCAAGCGTACGTTCCGCCTGGCAAATGTTTAGTGTTATAAGGACGACGTCATCAGCAAAACGAAGATGCTGTAAGTGCCGACCAACGATTTTCACTCCCATATTATTCCATTCCAATGTTCGCATGACGTTCTGGAGAGCGGCGGTAAATAATTTTGGCGAGATAGTATCGCCTTACCTAACTCCTCTTTGACGTCAATGTTAATATCGTTGCAGAATGGTGATATCTTGCTTGCAAAATTTTTGTACAGCTCACGAAAAATCTTTATGTACTGAGCAGGGACTCCTTGACTATCAAGGGTTTCCAAGACTGCTTCCATCTCAACTGAATCAAATGCCTTCTGTAAATCGATGAAAGTGAGACAGAGCGGTCTTTTGTACTCACACAATACTTCAGTCAGCCGTGTTACCGTGTGGATGTGGTCCATCGTACTAAATTCTCTTCGAAACCCTGCTTGTTCACATGGCTGTCCTTCGTCTAGTGTTCTGTCAACGCTGTTTAGGAAAACACGAGTGAAAAGTTTGTAGACGACAGACAGCAAGCAGATTGGGCGATAGTTGCCGATATCGTGTAGGTCACCCTTCTTGAACAATAACAGGTGTTCTGTTCTCATCCTGTTCGGTCCTGCTATGATAGATTCTTCACCGACGATATAGCATGTTGAATTTCGGAAGGCAGAACCGGCGGTACAACATATCCTTTCTCCTTCATTTCATATGACGGAAGGTGGACGTGGCTATCGAAGGGATCCGAATAGTATTCGTGAACGATTTTCTCCATTGCCTTTCTGGATGCTGTAACTGTTCCGTCTGGGCGCCGGAGTGCAATCATTTTGGCCTTGTAATTGATAAAGCTTCGGTGGGCTTTGCAGATGCTTTTCCCAGCCCCTGCAGCTTCGATCATTACTGCTGCTCTTCTTTCTTTAAGACCCTATTTTATCGCCTGTCTGCATTGTTTTGCAAGTTTGGACATTAGTTCGCGGTTGCCTGCAGCTCGTGCGATTTCACGCTGGCGTATCAGCTCGAGTGTTTCTAGAGACAAACGTCTTTTGGTGACTTTCGAACTCTCAGCTTTCATGGCGCTAACGTGAAGATGTTGAATGAGCCGGTCGTATTTTTTGTTGATGTTATCGACAATGGCGTCTTCCCAACAGCCGACTAATGAATTGAATAAGTTCCACTTTATGGTGGTTCTGGGACTTCGGTTTTTGAATTTAGCGGCTTTTTTTCCTTTCCGCGAGAAATAGAATCTTGGTGGAAGCAGGCGATGGTCCGATCCCGTGTAGAATTTTGGGGCAACACCGACATCGGTTAGGCAAAACCTTCTATTTACTATGATGTGGTCTATTTTGTGATGGTATTCTCCATTGGGAGACTCCCACGTCCAGACTTTTTTGGTGATGCACTGATTGGATACGTTTGTAGGCTTCCGAAAGCCATTGTATAAGCAGCATTCGTTCAGCTCTATAAAACCTCCTATGAGATTGTCCTATGCCGAACTCTTTATCCTACCTCCTTTAGCAAGGTAACTTTGTGAACACTAAGCATTTCTTTTTCAAATTGTTTTGTTCAGATTAATTTAGAACATGAATTCGTTGTGATAAAAGTATGGCAAGTTTTCACTCTTTTGATAACAATTTTTGTTAACTAGATGAACTAAATTACGAAGTGCAAAACCACCCTGACACGTTCGCTCCGACAAGAGGAAACAATCAGTAAAGTTCGAAGTAATCACAGATTTCACCAAAACCTTCTGTCACTCTCACATAGTCATTTCCATAAGCTGTGAGTGTTTTTATAAAAATCAAAATCGCTAATTGGCGACTTTCTTACACCTCCTAGTTTCCGTCATGAGAATATCGGTTTTTGACAAAACGACCGTATTTGGCTAGATGGTTATCTCTGAACGTTAATGACTCCGAGTTTCGTTACTTAATAGAAAAAAAACCGCTTAACATACTCAATTCCAACGTTCCTGTTTCAGCAATCAATCAACCGGCGATTGGCAAAACTTATTGACATAACAATTGTTGTCAGAAATAACCCGATTTTTTTTTGGAAGATATCACAGCGACGTGAACTCGTTTCTTCGGCTTGTAGAAATAAGCTGAAGGTACGGTAATCGAAGTAATTATTGCCTGTTCTAACCTTAATCGAAAGAACGAATCTCAATAAGAATATTCGGAAAGAAGACGCTAAGATGAGTTTTTCAAAAATCTGACAACCAGAATCTTGACTTCATTTTACTAGATCACTTGAAGAAATGAAAAAATAGTCTTAACAAGTACATTATCACTGCAGCTTACTTAAGATCTTCGAAGTTTTCTACCCTGGCTTTTATAAGTTTTATACGGTTCTCTCTGCCCGTACTATTTTTGTTTTTTTTTTCTTTTCGCTGAAATGTAACTTGTGCTAAGGTGTTTGCAGAGTTCGACCTGATTTCTTAACACTGATTCTCATTGTTAAATGGAAAACCGGAATTCCTCAACAAACTAAAGTGGACAGAAAGTTCAGGCAGCTTTTCCAGTTGCAATATACTTTTTTTATCCGTCTTTTATTGCATCATAATTGAGCCGTAGGCGCTATAAATTACTTCTGTTCCTCTGCTTTCATGAGCTTCCACCCCTACACCAAGGCTGACCTATGCGGGGATGACGACTACATTTTAACTCTCTTATAAGTACATAGACGGTGGTACGAACGGTAGACGAACGTGTGGCCAAATTCGTTAATCAGCCAACAACTTAACAACCTGGAAAATGATAACTGCTTTTCGAAAATTTGCTCTGAGCACAGAAAGAACAAAAATTTAAAATACTGATTCGATGGAATTCCAGTTTAAGCACTCGCCTTACATATAGCTTTTCATATGTTCGTACATAATATCATTTCATTAGTACACTCATTTACACAGTTATATTAGATGTTAATACTAATACTAAACAGTGCTCATGTGGCCCAGTACCCTGTAATACAGATGTGATCACAGGTTTGGACACGCATCGTGGCTCACAAAGCCTTCTATGACTCTCCGCCGTCAGCGATATTAAATGCATCTCTATGGTCAGAAGGAACCGCAGCAATGCAGAAGATGTCCTTCTGTTTCAAGAATTTCTACAGGTAGTCAAAAAAAGATCAGAACCTCTCTTTCAAAGAGGTCTCATCATTCCTGCAAGTCACAAAAATCCGTTGACTGAAATGACGAATGTAAAGTTCATCCCATATAATCCGAAAAAAATTGATACCAGTCTACCACCAAACGCTCGAAATCTTCAGGCAGTTGATAAACACTTGTGTGACTGCCTATATATAATGCGAGACTGCATAATTTTCTCCAGCCGTAGATACGGTCATTGGATGGGGGTCGAATACGGTGCACTTTATTTCTTGTGAAGTGTATAGTGTCGAAACGGGTTTACCACTCCAATTGCATGTAAAGAGCAACTAGTTCGAAAACTTCAAGTCGAGTGGTGAGGCGGAGAGTATGCGAGGAAGATATTTTATTCTCATTTCTCAAAGAATCGTAAAACGATCTCGTGCTTGCTCATCAAAAAAAAATTATTTGATCAATGCTGAGGATAAAAGAAAGTCGGCTTTAGGAATTACTGCATGGTGTTCCGGCAAGATAATTCCGACTTGTAAAAGAAGCACTATTAGATCGCCATTACTCGACGAGAAATACACTTTCACACAAGAGGCGATGGATAAATTGAAGCGGATGGCTTTTTGCTTACAGAGACCACTTCGTACTCGCACCTTGGGCGTTCAGTGAATACGAAAAACAACGTGGAACATAGATCAAGTCGTAGCGGTGGAACAGGTTAGACACATCTTAGCCTCTCAATGA